GTTAATATAATATATATATATATATATATATATATATATATATATATATATATATAACCAAATTGTAGTTAGACTAATACAGCCAATTTTTACTAAACATTCTGATTTAAGTATTTTCGAAAAATCATGATACACTTCAAAAGTATAGACTAAATTGGATGTATTTTCTATTATATGGGTACATTATAATTTTTAAGCTATTTTTTGCTTAATTTGATTACTTTGATTCTAAAATAAGTAGCAATATAGTGAATATTTCCTACATGTTTGATGTAATCTCGTTTTCTTCAGGTATTTCTAGATTTTGAATGATTATGGATTGAAAACCTTGGGTACATTCTACTAAATTGCCATGCATTGTGTTGATATCAAGTCTTATTTTCCCTGTATACATGTGAGAATGCTGTCTCATTCTTCCATGTGGTATGGAAAGGACACCAAGGATCCCGAACAAAAGTCTTTTGACTTTTCTTGGACTTGGAGAGAGAAAGAAGGGCTAGGGGTGGAGAAGTAATAAGTTGGTGTGCAGAAGAACTCTCAGCCAAGGCCCCTCCATGAGGAGGTCTCCCTGGAGGCTCCTAGGACTGTCCCAGCTGAGGCCCTCGCACCACACAAAGAAACGGGCTTGGACTGGGAATAAAATGCATGAAAGCCGGGCTGAGGGGGGTTGGGGCGTGGCCGAGTGTCGACTACAACTCTTTCCAGGCACCTGTGGAGCACTGGCTGGGCACCCAGTCCAATGTGGGCCACTTCCCCCACGAGGCCTGCCCGGGCAATGCCTCCTAATTGTCTAGGGTTGAGGGTGAAAGGTCACACATAAGATTTTGGCCTAGAGCTAGACTCTGCATGTCTCCTTAAGGTCCGTCAATATTTCCCTATATATTTTTCATACATATGTTAATATATATATACACAAAATATTTTTAAGTATATACAGCATTATAATTTTTGTATTTTCTTCATGAATTGAAATTATGCTATTAAAAATCATCATAAATTTCTTATTTTATGCCTTAAAGTCTAGTTTACATTAAATTAATATAGGCATCACCAATTTCTTTTATTGATATTACACTGATATATCTTTTTTCCATCATTTTATTTCAGTAAAAACATTATATTTCGATTGACTCATGTAAACAATAAACATCTGGATTATTATTTTTTTTTTTTTGTGGTACGTGGGCCTCTCACTGTTGTGGCCTCTCCCGTTGTGGAGAAATGCAGGCTTAGCGGCCATGGCTCACGGGCCTAGCAGCTCCGTGTCATGTGGGATCTTCCCGGACCAGGGCACGAACCCGTGTTCCCTACATCGGCAGGCGGACTCTCTACCACTGTGCCACCAGGGAAGCACTCCAGTGTGGTTTTTTAGTCTATCACACACGGTTCTCTCACTCCTTAAGGATGACAGGGCGGCTTGTAGCCCCAGCTAAGCCATCCCAAGGCAGCAATCTAAAGGGACGGCCCTCCCCCAGCAGGTGGACTCTCAACCACTGCCCCACCAGGGAAGCCCTCCACTCATTTTTATGAGACTACATTAACCCTGATGCTAAAATCTGATAAAGACACTATGAGAAAATAAAAGTACAGTCTTATTATTTTAATAGTTATATATTATTATACTATTTATTATTTAAAATTTAAGCATTCTTTATTAATATATGAATACAAGTATTTTAGTAATAAGTTGAATACAGAAATAGACAAATGTCTCGAGGCCAAGAAAGAGTTTTCTTAAGGATGCAATATTTACTCAGAATTCTAAATCAGTTACTATATTTCACCATATTAACACACTACAAAAGAAAAATGACATGATCTTCTAACTACATTCAGACATTCCGAATAAGCAATTGACAAAACTCACCAACCATTCATGATACAAACTCAGTAAATTAGGAATCAAAGGGAACTTCTTCAATCTGATAGAGGCTATCTCCAAATATCTAAGGGTACAAGTGAAAGTCTGATTGCTTTCCCCCTAAAATTGGCAAATGTATGCATAGTTCTCTTCACCTGTTATTAGAAATTCTTATCAATATAATAAAATATGTAAAAGAAATAAAATATAAAGATAGGAAAAATAGCTGTAAGGGGCTTGATATACATATCTCATGGCTGTTCATTAAAAATCTATAAGTTACAAGAAAATAGAACTAACCAGGACAATAGCATTCCTTTATTGCTAATATTTTATCTAATGGAAGTCATTAAACTTAAATTAGAATTATCAACAAAAAAAAAAAGAGAGAGAAAGCAGAGTCTGCAAGGTGATGAAAAGTTCAGTTAAATTTCTTAAAAGAAAAATTCAAATTGGAATTAGAGTCAGTAGCATACAGGTAATTGTTGAGGCGCTATCAAATGTGAGACCTCCCAGGGAAAATCGGTAGTGGAGGAAGAAAAACATAAACATAAATGTCAGAGATAAATACTCAGAGACTATCCTCAAACAAAACAGGAACCAAAACCAAAACATAAACAGGATAATATAAAATAAATTAAAACCAAAATGGGTTTTACACTGATATATGGGAGAGGCATTTCAACTAGACATTTTGCTACTCACGAAAGGGTAGGTACATTGTAAAGGAAGAAGAAATGGTAATACATCCCTTATATTGAAAAAAGATATGTGTAGTGCTTGCAAGTATGTGTTCTGGAGTCGGAGTACTTTCCAATATGCCTCATCCCCATAGACATATGTGAACTTGAGGACATATTCAAAAGCTCAGTAGACATTTTATTTTTCTATAAAATGCAATGAGATTTATGTGAAGATCAAATGAGGTAATAACCATTATGATACACTATAATGCCAAATGTATTATAGGTGCTAAAGGTTATGTTTTCATACTATGTATTCTTGTATAGCAACATTATTTTATTTTAGGATGTTTGCAAAAGTACACATATATATTTTTCCATGGTCCATTCCATAAGCTGGATTCAAAATTTTTTCAAAATATTTCATTAAAATATTTTATAACCCAGAAAAGTAGAGAAAATAATAAAATGAACAGCATGATCTTACCATCCTTATTTGCTAAAAGTTAATTAAAAAAATAAAGCATTACAGATAAATTGGAAGTCCCATCTGCCCCATTTCACTCCCTAACCTATATACCTATAAGTGTCTTTCTAGTAAAGCCAGTGTGTGTAAATAACCCTCATGTAAATGTTTACACTTCTGCTATAGACTATGCAATTATAGTAAATATGGATTTGCTTGTATTTCAAAATTTTAATTAATCATTATCATAATGTACATATAAAATTTTTCAATAATATTTTTAAAATTCAACATTATACTTTGATATTTATAAATATTAATACATGTTCACTATTTTAATCATTCTTTATAATCTCATGGTAGGACTGTGCCAGGATAAATTGATCCATTTTCCTATCCATAGGCCTTAGGTTGGTTCAGATTTGGAGTGAAAATTTTTGTACACATCTCTTTCAGTACAAACGTAATTGTTTCTCCAATAGACCTACCTAAAAATGGAACTTCTGAGTTGTAGGATATGCCTTACCATGTGTAGCATACACACTCTGTGTTTGTAAAGTCATTTCGAAAACTACCCCCACAAATAATATATTTTATGCCCTAATAACTACCAGAAAAATTGTATTTCCCACCTGGCTCAAGAGCTGAAGGCATTAGTAACTATGGTTTTATATATACAGACACATATCACCAGTACTAAATTAGTTATATACTTATTTTATAATAAATACACTGACTAGAACACTTAATAATGCCCTCCCAACATAATTCTTATAAGTTAAAAACCTCTAGTACTAAACCTTATATAACTCATATTTAAATATACAGAAAATGATATATTTCTCCAGCTTATATTAATAAAAGCATTTGAAATAGGGACTGACAGAAGCTGTTGCATTTTGAGGTGCTAAGTTACTTTGCCACAAACTAAATTACTTACTCTGAATCTTCCGATTACATTGAAACACCATCCTTCATTCAGACAGTTGATGGTGAAAAGTCTGCAGTGGTCAATTACTTTCTCACAGTTTTTTCCAGTAAATCCTGGAATACAACTGTAAATGCATCACTGTAAGTAAAACAAACTTGCAATTTAAATATTTTCACAGAAGTCTATTAACAGGCTGCCCAAAATAATAACGCTTTGTTTAAATTACATACAACATTTATTATCACATTATGTTTTCAATCATTGATTTTTTCCATGCATACTTGTGTTCTTTTTGTTTGTTTGTTTGCATTCAGCCTGGGGTCATTTTATTTTATTTATTTATTTATTTATTTATTTATTTTTACATCTTTATTGGAGTATAATTGCTTTACAATGGTGTGTTAGTTTCTGCTTTATAACAAAGTGAATCAGTTATACATATACATATGTTCACATATCTCTTCCCTCTTGCATCTCCCTCCCACCCTCCCTATCCCACCCCTCTGGGTGTTCACAAAGCACCGAGCTGATCTCCCTGTGCTATGGGGCTGCTTCCCACTAGCTATCTGTTTTACATTTGGTAGTGTGTATATGTCCATGCCACTCTCTCGCTTTGTCACAGCTTACCCTTCCCCCTCCCCATATCCTCAAGTCCATTCTCTAGTAGGTCTGTGTCTTTATTCCTGTCTTACCCCTAGGTTCTTCACGACATTTTTTTTTTTCTTAGATTCCATATATATGTGTTAGCATATGGTATTTGTCTTTCTCTTTCTGACTTACTTCACTCTGTATGACAGACTCTAGGTCCATCCACCTCATTACAAATAGCTCAATTTTGTTTCTTTTTATGGCTGATTATGATTCCATTGTATATATGTGCCACCTCTTCTTTATCTATTCATCAGATGATGGACACTTAGGTTGTTTCCATCTCCGGGCTATTATAAATAGAGCTGCAATGAACATTTTGGTACATGACTCTTTTTGAATTTTGGTTTTCTCAGGGTATATGCCCAGTAGTGAGATTTCTGGGTCATATGGTAGTTCTATTTGTAGTTTATTAAGGAACCTCCATACCACTATGGAGAACAGTATGGACATACTTGTGTTCTTTACAAAGTAGAAGTTTTATTTGTTTAGAGGGAATGTGAATAAACTACACCTTCATTGAATGGTTTTAATATTACCTTTTGGAGATGTAAGAGTAAAATCAACTTTGGCCTAAATGGATATTCAACAATAAAATATAGGTTTTAGAAAACTATTGGAATAAATGAAAGCATTATTGAAATGTGAAGAAAAATGGCAAGTGAGGTTTCTAATGTCTAGTAGAGCCATTCTATATTGATGATATGCTCTCAGGAGTTAACAACGACACAGGAATTTTAGACATATTGTAAAGAATTACAGTGGACAGTGTATGGTCATAGTTGGGCCAAATATAAGGTTTTGTTTGTTTCTTTGTTAGTTGTCATAGTTACCTTTTCTATAAAGCAATCTTGTAGTGTCAATGCCTGACAACAAGGCTTTTTGAGTGTAATCTAAGTGCCTGATATCAAGCTTTGGATTGCCATGGCATCCATTGTCACACATCCACCTGGAATAAACATATTGCCAGCTGTGTGATGCCTACTTGGGCCTAGACAAGAAACCCGGCCTCATGTACCCTGGAGCTCCCCTTTTAGAGACCCCTGAGTAACCCAGGTAACTGGCCTCTTGAGTGACCCCACCTTCACACATTACCCTTCCTGTTCCCTAATTCTCACTGTTAGGGTTTAAATTCACCAATAACCAGTGACCCCACCCTCAACCCCAGTAAGGCAGAGAGCCCCAGGACCTCCTCTCTCTCTCTCTCTCTCTCTGTCTTTCTCTCTTGCCCCCTTGTCACAGGGCTGTCGGTGCCGGTGCCCTTTACCCTCCAGGCCCTGTGAGTATTATCAGGACTTTTCTTTCAAGTTCCCTGATGGTTGCTGCTGAGGTGCGTCTTGCGGACATAATAAGACCCACAAGGGCCACCCCAGCCAGAACATTGGTTCTCTTTGGGGAAATGTCCTTCGGGGTTGCCACAGGTAGTGCAGACTAGGTGAGGGCCCCGGGCATTCCCAGCCAATGGCATCACTATCTAAAGACTGAGACAGACAGGAAATCAATTTGGATTCCAGTCCACTGCAGTGCATTAGCTGCAATCAATAAGGTGCTAAAGAACACACAGTGGTGTTCAGGCTTTCTTTGCCTTCACTCTCATTAATTCATGAGAAATATTCCAGTCTTTTAACTCACATTTAGTAAACTTCTGTTATCAAGTGAATTGGGCACCAAATCAAATGACAATGTGTCGCTCTAAAGTACACACTAGAGAATTATGACCAAAAATTATACTTGTTAAAATGAAGTTGTTACAAGCTGAGTTAATAATAAAATGAATTGTACCATATAGTCATTATTTTAAATTTATTAAGTACAATGTATAATTTCATAAAAGAACCAAAGGCCACATTGACACAGTCCAATGAAAATAGCATCAGTAAAACACTTCAGTAATTCACCTTTCCTGCTGTTTGAGGATCAGCTTTGTAAACTCACCTTGAGAATTAAATCATACCTTCATCCATCAGGAATAACCATGCATTTTTTTTTAAGATCTACAATGTGCCAGCCACTAGGTTAATTATTTTCACAAATTTATTATTTTCTAATTCAATTTTCATAATTCTTGTGTGATATTAATTATTACCACTATGATATAAATGAGGAAATATATTCAAAAAAGTTAAGTCAGTTGCTTTGGTCATATGACTAGCTTTAGAGCTGTTATTAAAGTATGATTTAAATTTAAATGTATTGTACTCTCCTACTCCACTGATGAAACCTGTGAAGATATGTTTACCTTGCTTCTTTTACCCTGCGGAACTAACCAGAGATCCAGAAATCATTCCAAGTACCACTTAGTTATGAAAGGTATCATGCTCACCTTTTCCTAATTGGGATGTGGATGGCAGAAAGAGGGAAGCAACAAAATATCCTAAAATTGTGATGAGTTATGGCTATCATGTTTTAATTTCCCTTTTAAGTGGGTATGAATTAAATTGGCCAAGACCAGCTATCAATATACTCACTTGTATTTGTATTATTCTAGAGTATGGTTTTAAAAGATGAGAGCCAGGGTTATGAATTAAATGAAGAACTAATATTCAGTCATTCATGAGACCAGGTTGACAGACTGCTAGATGAAGATTAAGCAACAGAATCTCTGAGAAATATGTTTCTAAACATTCCAGGGCTTATTGATCATGAAAAATTGGCCCAAAATGTTAGCACTATCATTACAGACAAAGGAGGAAGCCCCAAAACACCATATGTGACCCTTGACCCAGGGAAGTTTACCCCAAAGGCAGAGGAAACCTGTTGAGTTTTAGGTAATCAACCATCATGTGCCTCCACTACCCCCACCCCTCCCACCCCCATGATTTGTAATCTAAGAGAAACTCCAGAATCTCATTCACAAGGAAAATGACATCCTCATAACTCAGCCTGAGGTCAGGGAAATAAAACACTTAAATAGCATTCTTGATACGATGATCAGAGAGTGCAAACATTTAAATCAAGGTTTATAGGGTGTGCAGTTACAGTTCACGATGAATAATAAGACATGACCATGGGAAATGGGTCAAGATTAGATGGAGGAGGAAAAAAATTATAAAATAACCATGAAAGGATTTAAGCAGTCAGGTAGGTTGATTCCCAAGATGGATGCTGAAGTCATCAAGAAAGATGACAATAGTTGTAGAGAAAAGGACACAAGACAGATGCTAGAGCCATAGTGGGGGATGGACAGGACCTGAGAGAAGAGAAGATGCTTGAAAGGAGTCTGGGGACAGAGAAACAGAGTTAGGGAGAGAATGATCTATGGAATAGCTATGTGCTAAAAATAGACAGGCTTTTGGGGGAAAGAAAACTGGTCTGGATACGGCAACAATGGCAAGGTCACCTACACAGTTCCTCAACAGATGTATGCAGGTTGTGGGTGAATGGATAGAGCCACCAAAGAAGACTCCAGGTTTCAGCCAGAAAAAACAAAGGAAGGTATATAAAGAGAGTGTGGTGTTGCAGAATTTGCTGCTGACAAATGAGATCCCGAGGGCACAGCAGAGAATATTGGATATTGAAGTGTTAGAGGCTGTACAGAGCAGTGTGGAGCTAAGATTGATTTGATCAGGTATGAGCTGGAAGACTTGGAGGTTACAGGATACTAATTCAAACTTTATGTACATAGCTCTGTACTAACTTCTGTCATTATGTTTTGTTAGTTATTATTCACAGAGAAATTAATAGGTTCAGGACTAAAAGAAGAAATTATACATATATTCTCAAAATGAAGCACATAGGGGGACAGATTTAAGGATGACTTCTGTCAACTATAACAGTCCCTGAAAATATAAAATTATATGAATAAAGCAGAAGGTCCTCTTGATGAAGAAATGTCAACAATGTCCCAGATATCTTAAGTTGGAATAGAGTTTATAACCATAATCTGAAATTTTAATACTGTGGTTAAACTTTAACAAACTTTTTACCATGTTAAACTTCAGAATGATTTATTCAAAAGGGAAGGTTAGCCTTATAAATATGGCTATTGATTTCAAGGAAAGAAAAATGTAGCAACCTAGCTTTTGAGATAATTAACTCCAAGAGATTGAGGTTTCCTGTTAGGAATTATTGGGTGACCAAGTTCCTCATCCAAATGTGTGATTGCTACTTTTAAAAGGATTTTTCAAAATTAATGTGAAAATATAACTTTATTATTTGTTGAAAGGAAATATGTTGACCTATATATTTCTGTGTTACGATGTTCTATTTCAAAGTCACAGTGCATGCTTAATTAGGTTTACTTGTGACAGACACTGAAAACCCTAACCCCACCCATGGCTGATGTGGAGAGACATCATACAGACTAATGAAATGCTGAAACTGATGTGAGAAAAAAAGAAAGTATGTTAATACACTGAATTGACACTTAAGCAGCGCAAGATATAAATGCAACTCTGAGTAGGAAACAGAAAAAAAAAAAAAAAAGCTGAGAGAATAAAATAGAACATTATTATCCCATGAAATATCTTAGAATTTAAGTGGAGAAAATAAAAAGTTTAGAAAGCAAAAACATGTATATATAATATAATTTCTGATTTTTTAAAGCCATAGTACTTATTATTATCTAGTTTATGGTGTCTTTTACAAAGATAACTCTCAATAAATATTTTTTAAACAATTGATTTTCAGGTTGGAAAAAAAAAATTGATGTAAGAGAAAGACACTAGCTGGTTGCATTACTCTCTATTTCCTGATTCGTGTTTCTTCATTTTATTCTGAATATTTAGAAGGCATTCACCTTTACATTAGACAATATTAGAGTCATTGCATTCAGTAAATATAAAAATAGGTAAGTGTGTGTGTCTATGCATGTGTACTCATGTTTGTGTGTGATTGTATGATTGTTTGTGATGGCAATATCAGAACGGTGGGTCCTGACACTCTTCAAAGCCCTTGTGTGGTCTGGTGGGACATGCACTCCTATCCCTGGTGTGTAGTGGAGAATGTAGAGTACTGCTCTCTCCAGTTGTGATGCTCTGCCCTCCAGTGCCCTGCACCTTCAGCCCCCAGCCTCCAGCAGAGAGCTAATCAGGACCTGGAAAGCCTCACTGGAGCTGTGTTGGCCAGTGCCCTGGACATCACCTCTCACATAGGGAAAGGGGGCCCCAGAGACTGCAGCTTCAACATTGCCTTTGGAGGAGTTTCCGGGTTATCCACTGAGCTCCTGACAAGCCCTCACACTCCTAACTCCTTGTCAACACTCGCAATTGCCCCACTAGGATCTAACTTCAAGGCCATCAAGGTGAACCTCTTATCACCATTTATCACGGACATCTCAAGAAGCCAGAGGATTCTCAGGAGGTAATTGTATTTCCTCTCTCATCTGATCATAGTAATTTAGACCTAGTCCATACGTTCAAGTATAGAAACTGATAACATCATCACCTTTCTGTTCTCCTCTCTTCATTTTACTCCTTTCCAAACCCACACGTTTTCCCCCAGATTCATAATAAAAAAAGTAAAAGCTTGGGTTGAGATGTGTGGATGAAGTAGGCAAACAGGTGTAGGAGGATTTTCTGCATTGATGCTGTTTGAACTCAGATCAGCATCTCTGGAGAATTTTGTAGAAATGCACATTTGCAATCCCCACCCCAGACTGACTGAATTGGAAACTCTAGGGGAAGGGAAAAACGATCTGTGTTTTAAACAGCCCTTCAGGAGTTTCTAATGCAGCTAAAATCTGGTACAGCTAGTGTGAGAATCACTGTTCCAGAAACACATACCTTCTAATATGACAATGCACAGATAAATTTTTAACTAAAGGCATTTAAGTCAAAGGGTGTTTGATTTTCTCATTATTTTCAGTGATTCTCTTAATCTCCTTTGAGAAAAGAAAAGTCACTTTCAAGACTATTTTTTTCATTGTTTCAACTTCATGTTTTATTAGTTTATATTGGTCATATGACCTTTACTTCATGTGAGTCAAAGTTAGCAACTTTTTTGCACTATCATTGGTGAGTTTGTGGGTGGGAGAATCTGGGGGCTGGAAACTGTTTTGTGTTCCCCACATTCTTACTGATTTCTGAAGCTTGGGTTTTCACTCATCATTCAAATTAGTCTGTGTTTTTTGAATGAGTTTTATTCTTACTCTCCTGTCACTTTTCTTATCTTTCACCCTCTTTTAATCGGTAGTCTAATTTAATAAATAGAGGGGACAATGTTTTTAATTAAGTAGATTCAAGATGAGTGAGCACAATATATATTGTGCTCAATGTAAATTTTTAAAGAATGTGGGCAATCTCAACAATTAGAATGCATACAGTGACTCATTAATTTCATGAGTAAGTTTACTTCAAAGTTGTTACAACTAGTTACTTATTTGACATATTTCATCCATCCTAGGGAAACCTAACTTGAATTTCTATAACTTTCATCCTATCTAAAACATGTTTTACAAAGCATTCAAGATCAAACTCTGTCATTTTAAAATTAAACATATTAATAATATAACAGTAAACTGAGTGATGACAACAATTCCTCTAGTTATCTAGTTTTCCCTTTGATGATAAAATATAAAACAAAGCCTTCTAGACAACTAGAATAATGCTAATAATAAAAACCAATAAAAGCATCATACTTGATAAAATATATATATATATATATGAATGCATATTTACCTATATTTATATAATGCTATCCATATTTTTCAAGTTGATCACTTTTCTAAGTAGACTCACAAATATACTAGTCCTATAAGGCTCAGAACAAGAAATTATAAATTAAAAAGCCAATATTGTTAAAAAGGATAATAGCTCGATTTATAGGTAAGCTAATATAAGATTGAATACATCCACAGATTTGACTTGATGGGTTGGATGTTCTAAGGTCTTGATATATTGAGGAGGTTTCTCTCCATTCATTTTTGAAAATGTCAAATTTTAAAAGCTTAATACGTTTTTTAACTTTGCATTTAGATTCTTTGAAATTGATGAAAATAGTGTCCACTGTACATCTATAATGCACATGCATCTGTGATATACATGCAGGGTTTTTTTCAGGGTGCTTTTAAGGTTTTCCTGTACCACAGCTTTTATTTTTTTTAATTAAATTTTTTTATTCAAACAGAAAGTCACAAAAATTATAATCATCCTCATCAGTTCACTCAGTCCCTACCACAGCTTTTAATGTTCTGCTTTTATGGATATTCTAAAAGTTCTGAGCTTGTTTACTGTCCTTCAATAATGCCTAACAGAACTTTCTTTAAGCAGATAAAAGTCTAGCAATATAAAAGTCAAGCAAGTGTGAAGAGTACAAATTACACTTCTTGATGGTGTGAGAAATTAACTATAAAGCTATTTAAAATGGTTTAAAGTGATAGGCCCAGATAACTAATTCACTTCTGTCATTTACAAATCGGTAATTTTTAGCAAGTCTTTATTTAAATAAGACCCTCTTTCCTAAAACTTTGCCTAAAGATCCTAAAGGAAAACTCTCAGCTGAGGTCTGTGAATTGCAGGAAGAGACAATGGGTCTATACTTTCAAATAATAATAGCAAGGATGTGTGTGTACAGTAGAAATAATACTGTGGACACTTACATTATCTCTTCCTTCTAGACCTTCAAATATTATCCAGCTATCCTAAACACCTTCATTACAAAACAAAATAGATGTTTTAGGATGGTATGCCCAAACTATGATTAACAATTGTTCCAGGGCTTCCCTAGTGGCGCAGTGGTTGAGAGTCCGCCTGCCGATGCAGGGGACACGGGTTCATGCCCCGGTCCGGGAAGATCCCACATGCCACGGAGCGGCTGGGCCTGCGACCCATGGCCGCTGAGCCTGCGCGTCCGGAGCCTGTGCTCCGCAACGGGAGAGGCCTGTGTATCGCAAAAAAAAAATTAAAAAAAAAAAAATTGCTCCAATATTTATTTAAAACCAATGCCACAACATTTAAACATTTCATAGATAAAGCATTAAGATTTTTCTACTTTAACTGGAAATAAAATATTATAAGCCATTGAAGTTTTTTTTTTTTTTTTTTTTTTTTGCGGTACGCGGGCCTCTCACTGTTGTGGCCTCTGCCGTTGCGGAGCACAGGCTCCAGACGCGCAGGCCCAGTGGCCATGGCTCACAGGCCCAGGTGCTCCGCGGCATGTGGGATCTTCCCGGACCGGGGCATGAACCCGTGTCCCCTGCATCGGCAGGCAGACTCTCAACCACTGTGCCACCAGGGAAGCCCCATTAAAGTTTTTTAAGCTTAAAACAGAACATTGTTTTATTTTTGTCCACAGGATTTAAAATTCATATATTTTTGTTTAAAAATAGGAAGTTAATTATACCTGCAATGATAATCTTTCTCATATTTCATACTTGTGGCATTAATCTTGCAAGGAAAAGACTCCAGTGGTGTTTGAAGTTGCTTACAATGCTTGACTGTACATATTGGTGAAAACATGCACATGATATCCTAGAAAAGATTAAAAAGTATTTTTTACAAAAAAAAAAAATTGTATATCTCAAAGATAACGAAAGGATTCTTACATGGGAAGAGATGGAAATTATTTTCATAAGCAGGTAGTAGAAGTTCTCACTCAATGCAACAATGTGGAAGCTTCTATTTTCCAAAACGTCCCAACATTGTTTCCCATGTCATACACTCTTCCTACTACCTTATTTCAACGTCCCCATAATTGAGAATTGGGGCCATATTTACCCCCTTGAGTGTAAGCAAGCTGTGACTATGGGGAAAGGATGCTCTGTGACTTTCAAGGCTAGGTTTAAAAAGGACATACAGAGTCTGGTTATCTGGGAATGCTTGGAACCCAGCCACCATGCTGTGAGGACACACAAGCCACACAGAAAAGTTTTATTTAGGATATGGCTGATAGTTCCAGTTGAGGATGTGGTTGACAACCAGCAATTATCCTTGGACATGTGAGTGAAGAAATGTTTGAGGTATGAATATTAATTCATATTATGAATTCAAATATGAATCTTACCAAAATGAAAGATTGTCATTTGTGGGAACTACTGAATTATTTCCTATTCTTATTTATTTAACTATTAAATAAAATGTTAAAATGCAATAATATGAAATAATCAAATAATAAAGAAAATATTTTTACATAACTAAAAATGAAAAGTTTACAAAATTACATTGTTCATAAAGGAGAGTTCTGTCAGAATAACAAAAAATAAAATTGAAGAGTAGTTTTGAGGTTGGGGTTTCTATTTAAAATGGGAACAGTGAAAATAGGCAAGTTAAATACATTTTCTGATGTTCCTGAGTTTGAAAATTGCAATATGTTAACTAGAAGTTTAATTATTTGTACTTTTCAAACAGATTAGTAATGGTAAAATATATTTTAAAACCACTCCCTTGTATGTTAGATTCAGACTTACCGTTGGAATATCAATGCAGTCAGTAACATTCTGACATGGTTTTGGTGAACACTCATTGACATAGGTTTCACAGTTTTGATTGAGATATCCTTCTTTGCATCCCAAAATGTAAGCTGAGCTTTTATTTTGACTAATTTCTCCTTTACAACAAGACTGAGAAACACAATGTTCCATTGACTCCTCACAGAATGGACCTTTAAAGATGAAACACACACAGAAAGAAAATATGAACATAGGCATGTACAAAAGCTTGGTATAGAAGAAGTCTCTAGAGTTCATGAAGTCTTCTTAAACACCTTTATCATGGTATAATTTACACGTCATAGAATTCACCCACTGCGAATCTATAAATCAATAATTTTTGCAAGTGTATGTAGTTATTGGACCGTCAGCACTACCCTGTTTCAGCACATCTCCATTACCAAAAAAGGGCATTTTTATGGTCACTCTTTGTCTGCAAATCCAGCCTCAGGCAACCATTAATCTTTCTGTCTCTACAGATTTGCTTTTTCTGGGCATTTCATATAAATGGAATGGTACAATATATTGTCTTTTGTGATTGGCTTCTTTCCTTAGAATAAAATATTTGAGGATTTTTCATGCATGTATCACTACTTTTACTCTTTATTGCCAAAGAGCAATTCAAAATATCTATAATATTTTGTTTATTCATTCACAAGTTGGTAAACATTTCGGTTGTTTCTACTTTTTAACATTTTTATTGAGATGTAATTGGCACATAACATTCTTAGTTTCAGGTGTACAGCATAATGATTCAAAGTATGTATATATTGTGAGATCATCATCACAATAAGTCTAGTTAACATTCATCACCACACACAGTTACTGTTTTATTTTTTCTAGTGATGAGAACTTTTAAGACCTACTCTCTTAGCAACTAACTTTTATGAGCAATTAATTCACTCACAAGTATTTGGGTGGATATATACTTCAGTAGCTCTTGCACAGATTCCTGACAGAGAAATTGCTGAGGTGTAAATTTATGTGTAACATTTTTTTTTTTTTTTTTTTTTTTGCGGTCCGCGGGCCTCTCACTGTTGTGGCCTCTCCCATTGTGGAGCATAGGCTCCGGACGCGCAGGCCCAGCAGCCATGGCTCACGGGCCCAGCCGCTCCCCGGCATGTGGGATCTTCCCAGACCAGGGCACGAACCCGTGTCCCCTGCATCGGCAGGCGGGCTCTCAACCACAGCACCACCAGGGTAGCCCTATGTGCAACTTTATAAGAAACTGCCAAACTGTTTTTCAAGGTAGCTGTGCCATTTTTCATTCACACCATCAATCTGTGAGAGTTCCTGTTTCTCACATTCTTGCCAACATTTGATATTGTCCATTTTCTTTATTATAGCTCTTCTAGTGGTTGTGAAATAGTATCTCAATTCAGTTTGCATTCTCATAAGAATAAAGATTTTGAGTAACTTCTCATATGTTTATTAACCATTTGTATGTCTTCCTTAATGAAATTTACCTTCATATATAGAGAATATTTTAAATTGTGTTATTTATTTTCTTATTATTGAATAGTGAGTGTTCTTTTCATATTCTGAATACAATTCTGTTATATGTGACTTGCAAATATTATTTTCCTTGTGTTGCCTTGACTTTTCATTTTCTCAGTTAGTGACTTTTGGATAGGAAAAGTTTTTATTTAATTAAGTCTAAATTATCAAATCTGTCTTTCACTTTATTAAGTCCAACTTGTAACTTTTATATATCATGGTTTTGTTATACTATCTAAAAAGTCTGTCTAACAAATAGTATAAAGATTTTCTCTTATGATTTATTAGACATTTTTATCAACTTAGCTTATAATTTAGATCTATGATGCCTTTGATTTTTTACATGATGTGAGATAAGGATATGTTATTTCATATATATGAATAACATGTTGTTTTATATATGTATAATTTTTTACATGTTGATATATAATCGTCCAGGCAACATTTCTTTGAGAAGACTATTCTTTTTCTATTTAGTTGCCTTTTTCACTATTGTGGAAAAACAAGTGATCATAAATATGAGTTCACTTCTGGACTCTCAATTCCTTCTCATAAGCCTATATACTTATCCATATGCAATAATACACTGCCTGGATCAATGCAGATTGATAGTAAGTTTTGAAATTTGGCAGTCATCAAACTTTTTCCTTTTTTAAAAAATTTTCAGTCCGCATAAAGTTTTGTATAAGCTAGTCAATTTCTTCAGAAAAGCCTCCTGGGATATTGACAGGGATTTCAATGAATCAATAGGTTAAACTGGGAAGAATTACCATCTCAAAAATATGGCGTTCCACTCAACGAATATGCAATACCTCTCCATTTGTTTAGATGTTCTTTCATCTCTCTCCCAATGTTGTATAGCTTTCAGTTAAAGTCTTTCATTTAATTAATTAAATTTATACCTAAGCATTTTATCCTTTTGATACTATTATAAAGGGAAATGTTTTTAATTTAATTTTTAAAATTTTGTTGCTAGTATATCAAAATACAATTAACTTTTGCATTTTATCTTGTATCCTGCAAGCTTTATAAACTCAGTCACAAGTCTGGTAGTTCTTCTTTTGCATTTCTTAGTATTTTCTACATAAGAGATTATGACATCTGTTAATAAAGGTAGTTTTACTTCTTCCTTTTCAATCTGTATGTTTTTCGATCTATTTTCTCCCTATCCAAGTCTGCAACAACCTGTAAAACATTGACTAGATAGTGAAAGTGGATATCTCTGTGCTGTTCTCGTTCTTAGGGGAAAATTTGCCAGCACCACTTCATTAGGGTGATATTAACTGGACAATTGGCATAGATGTTTTTTATCAGGTCGAGAGAGTTTTGTCCTTTTTCTAAGTTGTTTTATTAGAGTTTTTGTAATGATTGTGTGTTGGATTTTGTCAAATGGTTTTTGTCCTGGTTTTATGTGGTTTTGTTCTTCATTCTAGTAACATTAATTTATTTTTAGATGTTAAACCAATCTTGCATTCTTGGAGAAAATTCTACTTTTTTAGAGTACAAAAACATGCTTTTTGTGTTTCTGGAATTGTTGTGCTCATATTTTGTTGGGGATTTTCAATGTATATTCATAAGTGGTTCTCTCACTTGTTTTTTGTCTGGTTTTGGTATAAAGGTAATATTGGCCTCATAAGGTGTGTTCAAAAGTCTCCCCTTTACTTCTATTTTTTGAACATTTCATAAGGATTATGATTAAATATTTGGCAAGTCTGTATCAACTATTTCTTCTTGAGACAATTTTAGTAATTTGTGTTTTTCCAGAAATTTGTCCATTTCATTTAAATAGTCTAATTTCTTGGCATAATGGAGTCCATGGTATTTCCTTATAATCCTTTTAATTTTGAATGATCATTATTTATATCCCCACTTAAAGTTCTGGTTTTGTTAATTTGTGTCTTCCTTGTTTATTTCTTGGTCAGTCCGACTAAAGATATGTCAGTTTTCTTTTACTCAAAAAACAATGTTTTATTTCATCAGTTTTTCTTATCCATTTTAACAATTTTTCCCTAATCTTACCACTTCCTTTCTTTTGTGTGTTTTGGGTTCAGTTTCTCTTCTTTCTCTAGTTATTTAAGGTAGAAGCTTAGAATATTGATTTAAGACCTTTTCCGTTTCTAATGTAGGAATTTAGAATGATAAAATTACCTGTAAACCTTGTTTTAACTATGTTTCATAAATTTTGGTATGCTGTGTATGTTTGTATTCAATTATAATGTTTTCTTTGGCTCAGGTTATTTTAGAAATTTGTTTAATTTCCAAATATTTGAAGTTTTCTCAGAATTTTTCTGCTGTCAATTTCTCATTTAATTCTGTTATGTTTGGAGAGCATGTTATCATATAATTTTAATTCCTTCAGATTTATTGAGGCTGGTTTTGTGGCTATGATCATCTGTTTATACAATGACTATCAACAGCAGAGCTGAGTACTCAAATGCTTGGCACTGGATGCAATGTGAGAGTGGGAACTTCCTGAAAGTCTGTGCCCTAAGAAAGGCACTTACCTGCCTCTAGTCCCCACCCTGAGATCATGCGAAAAGAACAAATAAAGTACTGATGTTAAGGTCCAAGGCTGGTAGTTCCACTGCAGCTTCCATGAGACCGGAATCAACGTCTGTTTTGTAGCTGAGCTCAGGTGTTTGTCGGATTCTGTTTAGCAGATTTCTATTAGGCACCTCCTACTGGTTATAAAAAAGTACCCACTGTACTGGCCTGACATCCTTGCCATATCTGTTAAATCCTGGATTTCAAAAGCACAATTTACTCTTTTACTCCTTTTTGGGTAATGAATAGGTCTTTGGACAATTCATACTTGCAGGTGAGAGCTGAAAAGGGAAATATTTGACTTCCTACTAAAAATGGCACACCTGGCCTCCAGAAATTATCTACTGAAGTTAATAAATATATATATTTGTACTTCAAGTTCATAAACCTTGTCAACCAATCACTATATGACCGAAGGCCAACAGTATACAACAGGTTCATTAAAAAATCTTCATATAAAACTCATTCAGTATTATGTGAACAAGAGCATCAAGAAACATTTAGCTACAGAGAATTAAGTTACTTAGCAAGAGCATACAACCAAAATAAATAAATAAATAAATAAATAAATAAATAAATAACAAAAACAAAACACTTAGAAGAAGATATGCTGTTAATTGATTTGAAGATTGAATCGTGTGCCAAATTCTAAAATATAAAGGCATAATAGCAGTATAAAATGTTGACTGACCACATCACTGGCATTATTATATTAAAATAACTCAACTTCTATTTTGAGCACATGAAGAAGAATGAACATGCATTTCTCAGTGGTGTGATATATTAACATATTATTCTATTAAATATCTGTAAGAAATAACATTTAATTATATTTAAGACATCAGTGTTAATTGGCTCCATGGTAAGAAACTACCTGAATGACCCTACCTCATATTTATGTAATGCTTGGCATTTCCATAGCACTTATATCCATACAATTTGATAAAATCCTTAAAGACAAACTTGGAATTTATAAAAGGCCATTATTACCCAGTTTTATAGTTGAATTTTTTTTAAGTAAAAAGCTAATTTTGCTAGAGGTTGAGCAACTTGCAACATATCACACAGTTGGTTAATTAATAGAAGATTAATAATAAAAATATGTGAATTCCACCTAACCCTATTATAATTC